AAAAAAAAAAAAAAAAAAGAAAATCAGATTCAACTTCCCTGTGCTTTTTAAGGGCAAATATAAGTGAGCAAATAAATCTGTGTAGAACATTTAAAAAGTGTAGGTATAAATGACTTTCAAATAAACTTTATAACACTCTTTATGCTGGGAAGAAAATTTTAGAAAAGGGATAACCCCTGCTTTTCTTTCCTTAGAGTATATAATCAAAGCTAAAGTCCCTTCTTCCGTTGACTGTGACATAACATGTCCCTCATAGCCAACTGAACAGATAAAAATTCCAGACAATGCTTAGCAATTTCCTGCTTTTCCTTTCATGCACAATGTATTATCAGTATGTTTTGCCCTCTTTATTTAGTATCTTGCTGAATTAAATTATCTCATCAAGTTTTTAAGCACAAGCCCAGCCTGCTTTCTGGATGATGCCTGCAACAGGTCATCCTTCTGAACTTCCTAAATAGCCCAGAATGTTCTTCAAATGTACCCCTGGCTCATCATCCAAATTCAGAGAATCAACTTGCCAGCACCTTGGAGCACCTGCTGTGGTAACATGAATGCCTGAACACCAGACAAAATGAAGCTCCAATCACTGTTGCAGATCTTGTTAAAATCCTGGCTCTATCCTCAGCTTAGGTATATTCTCTACTAGAAAAAAGTCTCTCTGACCTCTTCATTAAGGCCTAAGTATACAGTCTGGTATATGACAAGAAGGACCTTCCTCTTTTCCCCTTGTATATTCTAAAACTACACAAACAGAAAGCTCCCAACCTCCTCACGACCACCACACACAGATTCCCACAGTGGACTATTTAAAAAATAACAGTACTTGGTAGATGTATATTCTCATTTGCTTTCATTATTGAAAAAGAAAGAAAATAAATGAACTAAACATTCAACTTAAGGAATTACGAAAAGGAGAAAGCCTCCCCTGCCCCCAACAAAAAAGTTAGGAAAAAAAAAAGTAAAAGCAGAAGAAAATGGATCAGAAAATAGAAAAATAGTGACATTAATAAGTACAAAAATAAAATCTTTATTAACAAGTTCATAAAAGCAACAAGTCTATGGTAAATCCAATTGAGAGAACACATTTAAACATTATAAATCACAAATAGCAGATGAAGAGGAAAGTAGGTTACTAACATTTTTGAAAAGCTCAATGAAATTAGTGATTTTTTGGGGAAAAATATGTAAATAAGCCAACCCAACCCTAATGACAATAATTGAAAAAGTTATCAAAGAATAATCTCTAGAAAGACTCAGATGATTCTGTAGCATTTTAATTTTTTTTGGGGGGGGGTAATGGAGTCTTGCTCTGTTCCCCAGGCTAGAGTGTAGTGGCATGATCTCAGTTCACTGCAACCTCTGCCTCCTGGGTTCAAGCAATTCTCCTGCCTCAGCCTCCCTAGTAGCTGGGATTACAGGTGCCCGCCACCATGCCTGGCTGACTTTTGTATTTTTAGTAGAGATGGGTTTTCACCATCTTGGCCAGGCTGGCCTTGAACTCCTGACCTCGCGATCCACCTGCGTTTGGCTCCCAAAGTACTGGGATTATAGCTGTGAGCCACCACGCCCAGCCAGCATTTTAATTTTTAAAAAATATTTACATGTGTACATTCATCATACATGTGTATGATGAATTCTTTCTAACTTTTCCATTTGGGATATAGAGAAATAGGAAGAAAAAGGGAAATCACTCTGCTTTCATCACCTAAATGCAGCTGAGTTTGTTGTCATTTCCTTTCAATTTTTACTATTTTAAATGGTTTACACATTTGTGATTATATTATGTAATATATTCAGTGATGAACATAAGCAGTTATGCTACTTGACATTTTAATGTAATAAAAACTTGTCATTTTATTATAAACTTTTCATAAGAATAATTTATATCTATACATTGTTTAAGAAAATATGTGGAACCTAACAGAAGAATTGGAAAGTTTACATGAAATATATAAGGTGCTTGGTACAATGTCTGGACCACAGTAAGTGCTCAACAAATGGCAGCTACTATTACTATGGTTTATAAGGGCTCTTCCTTTTGCATGGATCATTTATTTAATTTGGAATGGATATTACTATCTCAGAAAATACT